TAAACTTTTCAATATGTGCAAACCGTGACTGAGCTCCTTTAAGCGTCGTTTCATGTTCCTTAGCAAATCCCGTTGTTTCAGAGAGGTACACACCTGAAAAATTTTGTTGTATACTCCTTAAAAGGTTTTTCAGTGAACAATATAATACATGAGGTGAAATAAGTACAAAGTACACTAGTTATATATTATGTATGAAGTACACTCGGTGTAAAAAAGAAAAAAAAAATAGAAAGAAAGAAAAATGAAAGAAATAAGAAAAATTTAGTTTAAGAACTCGCTGAGAAGCTTTGTCTTCAGAGTTTTGTCAAAGTCTTTGTCTAAAGAGTTCCATAGTTTTACTATTCTGTAATATAAAGATCTCTGACCAGCACTGGTTTTGCACAGGGGAATATTCAGTTCGCAAAGTTCGCAAACTGAGAAGTTCGCATCTTGAAAAGTCTTTTTAAGAGTTTCCTCAAAAGACTGCTTTGCAAGCAAATTCGTTTAGGTTAATATAACGGCGAGGGGACCAGATAGTGTGTATACCAACACATATACATCAACTTTAGTTTCACTCCGACTTTGGAGTAACTATCTGTTATGTTAATGTCTTCGAACAAAACCTGAAATACAATACAAAATAGAGCGGTTATTTGAGTGTCGAAAAGTAATTGGTTTTGCCCTGACTAAACCCTTACTATACTTCATGATTGTTTTAAAAACTCGCGCCAATTATTCATGCAATCAGAAGTAAAACCAAAACCAATCGTGACGCGTTCGCACTCGTTTTCCCGCGCTTCGCGTCAGCAACATGGACAGTGTAATTATGTTGAGTTTTGATTGGCTCATTGTATTGCCAGTGTCCCTTGTGATTGGCTAGAGCGATTACTTTGGTTTTGGTTTTATGACACTCAATTAAAACTGCTCTACTTTCTAAAACTACAATGAATGTTTCCTAATGACAAGGAGAGGGGAGAGTGGGGGATGGCTTTCTAAATTAACTCATCGTGTGGTGCAGCACCAGCTGACAAATAACCAAACGGGTTTATTCCCATATTCAGAGTGGTCAGATAATATAGCATTTGACATTGCCAACCTTAAACCATCGACGCCAAGTTAATACTCTGACTGCCTTACCTTAATGGAGAGACGTTCTTTCTTCGACTTCTTATTTATCTATTTTTTTTTTTTTTTAAGGTGGTTAGCTCTCCGTCTGGAGTTTATTGGAGCTGCTATTCTGTTTTTCGCTTCATTGTTTGCTGTAATTTCCAGAGAGACTATAGCACCAGGTCTCGTGGGGCTGTCTGTGGCATATGCATTACAGGTTTGTTTCAAGTCATTTTTCTTGAGTTTAGTTTTGTTTTTAATGTAAGGTTTTTTCTTGTTCTCTTTTTATTGTTGTAATATTGTTGTTGTTGTTGTTGTCGTTAGTTTTGCTTCTTCGGTTTTTTTTTTTTTTTTCGTTGGTAAATAGTGAAATATAGAATGTAAAACTGCCATATCCTTTTAATCCCTAAGATTTTGGTGGCAAAAGATAGCTGAATGACGAATTTCTATATTGATAAATTATTGGTTTGACCTGGAAAATAAAGTGTGTTTCTCGTCTGTCAGTTAACGTGCAAAATACTCTTTCGCATGTATTAGTATTACATACGCTCAAGTTAGAATGGGTAGCCCCCTTAAGAGAGTTTGTACGGCTGTTTGTAAAGTGAGTGCGGGCGAAGTTTCCAGTTGTTTTGTTGTTCGTTTCTAGATCACTGGTGTATTAAACTGGATGGTGCGGCAGTCCAGCGAAATGGAAACCAATATCGTCGCCGTGGAGAGAATCAAGGAATACACAGGAATTACGAGAGAGGTTAGTATTCTATCAGCCAGCCAGACACACACACACACACACACACACACACACACACACACACACACACACA